TACGACCGGTCGCCTGCCTGACATCAACCCTCTTTGGGAATGGACGTACATATACAAATCCCCCTATATATACATTTAAATGTAAATCAGTTTAAAGGAAGTTTATTTAAATAGTCAATTATTTTAATTGTATCTAATTGTCGAATATAAACAGTGACTTGCTAAATCTTTCCTTATCTCAGGCTGTCTGTCATATGTAAATTGGTCCAGATAGGGATGCTGTTATGCGGGCGCCAATTTCGGTACAAACTAAGATCGGGTAATGCTCTCAAATTGAACACCAATTTATCTGTTAGCAGTTATTAGTACTTGTTGCGGTTTCGTAAATTATTCTAGGGTTCCTTTGGTTTTTGGTTATAGGTTCCGTAGAATTAAACATACATAGACCTAAATATTTTTTTCTTAAGTTTATTTGTTTCTAGCTGTCTTATAATATAGGGAAATAATTTCAAGGAAGAATAAAAAAATCTTAGGAAAAACTTAAGTATTTTTTTAATAAAGTTTTCCTGAAGAATTAATTCTTTAGAATCAAATTGGAAGGCAGTTTGGCAATAATAAAAATAAAATAATAAAGAAATAAAAAATTATCAATACCTATATAGAATTTACTTCAGAATTGAAATGTTTTTAATTTTTCATCTTTCTTTTTATATTTAACTGTTATTATATAGTTTATTTTAGTTATAATCCTCCCTTGGTCTTGACCTGTTTTTAAACCACACTAATTCCGTCTTGTCGACTCCACGCTGCGAAATGCTACTATTTCTAAACTCCCCCGCCGAGACGTATTTGTTCGTATGATTATTTGCTTGAATAGCATTTGTTTATAGTTTTATTTACAAATAAATAAAGTATGCTTACATAAGCTAGGTTTGACACACGTAGTTGTGTTATCATATAGGACTAATATTTGGTTCTACTGAGTGAAATTAAATGCGTTATTTTGCAATTTTATTAGTAGGAACAAAATTATAGAAATTGTATTCGATAGGAGTTAACGAAAATTGCACTAAGCATCCAGAATTTTAACTTAGTTATATACCGTAATGAATTCTATATCTTCTTTTGTACTATTTTTTTCTACCTGACAATTTCCCAGCTTCAGCCAGGGTCTGCCTTACATGTTGTGAATAGTTTTGGCTAATTGTGTTTACGACCGGCCGCCTGCCTGACATAAACTCTCTTTGGGAATGTATTAATCAGTGTTGTCTAAATACTCTTAGAACGTACATATAACTCGGAAAAATCACATTAGTACTTGCCAAGGCCAGGATCAAACCCGCGCCCTCGTGCATGAGAGGCGGGCCTTTTAACCACTAGGCCATACTTCTATATCTTCTTTTCTACGTCTAGGGAATATTTCAATTCATTTCGTTCCAAGTTACTTGTGATGATGATGACTTACAATTTTAAATATTAATACCTAAACTCTATAATATTATTTTTTAAAGAAATATATTGTGTTTTAAGTGTCGGAATTATATCATGTTTCCTATATCCTTACGTTTACAGGAAGCAGTAGTAGTAGCATCCCAACTACCATTTGTCGCTAGGAAGTCTGTTCCAAAAACTAATTGCGCACGCGTTCACATGAAGTGGGCCACAACGATCTCTTTCCGTTCAGACATCGATATGTCATATGATATGTGGTGTTGGATAGCTTTATTGTGTATCTGTTACATTTACACTAGTTTTTGCCTGCGACTTCGTCCGCGTTAATTTCGTAATTAGTTGTATATGTATAGCTGACCGGGAGACCCGTATTTGGTAGTATTGAACATAATTAAACAGATGTTGCGATTGATTAAGTTTTTTTTTCTTTTTAGATTGAATGGAATTTAATATCCTATGTCCGTCTTCTGGTTCTGAAATTTAGTGATTAATTTTAAAATATTCTATAATAGATATATTATACTCTTATAATAATTTTAATGTTATTACCATTCTTAACGTTTTCTTAGTAATAATTAAATTCGCCTTAAATAATTCTCTCGTTTTAATATACTCTCTACAATTAATATGTATATTTTTGCTTATACTAAAATTACGAAACAACGTATTGATAAAAAAAAACATCGTCTTTTTAATAAAAAAACCTTGCGGAACAAATATTCAAAATTTTCTTGCCAAAAATTGAAACCTTAAAATAAGACATTTGAACTTTATAATATGAAGAGTGTAAATGCATTCAATGCAATAAGGAAATTAATTTCAGAGCACATAAAAGAAAATTAACTTTAAAAAATAAGTACATTATATATATGTAACTAACATCTTCAATACAAATTTTCCTACACTCTCAACCAATCTTTACCTCTCCATAATTCATTCTGGAACAACGAAATCATTACCATGGATTGCCATACAATAATTTGCCGGGCGAAATATCGTTTCCCATTAAAAAAACATCAGCGCTATCAGTACTGAACTTACCAGAATCGTTTCGTGCGTAAAGATTTACACTCTGATGCACTTTTTATATATATATTTTTTACCTAAATACATTTAATGCACTATGCGGTAACTACTTCGCGATTGTGTATTGGTTTAAAAGAGTATTTGTAAAGTAAGAAAATATTGGTAACATGTATGTAGTCTTTTTGAGATTTATGAAAAAATATTTAAATGAAACTAATATTTTTCGGATATACTACGCGGTTTATCTTTTTATTTTAGTATTTAAGAATTTTGGACAATTCAAATATGGTAGTTAAAAAACGACCCAACGAATAAATAGTATAAGTTTGATAAGAAATATTTATTTTTTGTGGGACCGGAGAAACAAATACGAATTTTAGCGTGACTTACTGGTTGACGTATTCGGCTGTTCGGTATTCGTCTATTCGATATTCAGCGTATGACCGAATATATTTTTAACTAAGATTGGTGTATAGTGAAAGTGTTAACGTGTAGCCTTGAAGCCGCTTAGCAATTAAATAAGGATACTATAGAATAACATCTTAAACAATAAATTAGATGAAAATATTATTCTTTCTATGCCCCAAAATAATAAAGTATTTTAAAAATAATATAATAATGAGATCTAAGACTTTCGCGAGTATTCATTTAAATGAAAATAACATTTTTCAGATTATACATATGTATATGTGTATCTTTCTCGTCTCATTTAGTCTGTCCGTGATTACGTTTACTGAAAAGTAACCGAAACGTCTGGAGCATGAAGTTTTTACAATAAAAGAATATGTACGCGTAGTAATCAGAATAATTAGTTTTATTTAAATATAATAGTTCTTAGCGAGTAAGTTTAGGTTCGAAATATTAACCAAATGTATGTAAAATAATGTCTCTACTAACACTACGTGTCAATATATATAGTAGAGGCATTATATATTATATATAATTAACACGTTCTGTTCTAACGGCAAGTAATAATTAGCTACAATCTGCTATATAGCTGTAACTTGGTTTGTCAATATATAATTTAATACATATTGTTTATATACTTATATAATATACATATATTGTCATTATTTCATAATCAAATACTCATAAAATTTTAACATAATTTCTTTACTACTCCTAAACAATAATTAATTTTGATTCAATGCAGACTTATTGATTTTTCAATAATTTTTTTCCTACTACTACTACTAGTTATAAAACATATGGAATATGTAATTCTTTCATAATTTAATCAGACTAAATTTTTAACTAGAGTTACGTGTATGACATCATCACAGTTATAACTTCAGTAACAGTTAAATGTTGAACTCACAGTTAACTCGTATCGAGTTTAATCATCACATATAAGTGAAGTGTTCTCAAGTGTTTGAGTCAGTTATTGAATGATTGTGTATGGTTCTTGAGTGTCAATGCAATCACTCATTAGCAACATAAGTCACGGCACTCAACTGTATATATATATACATACAGTTATATATATATATAATATCCTATTATTTACTTTGGTATTTTGACGAAGATATAAAAAAAGTTTAAGTATATAAACGAAATTAAGATACTTTTTTAAATAACTATTTATTTCAAACAAAACTTAAAGATATGTATATAATAAGAATAAATTAATATAATTTTAACTTGACAATATCCTAAATATAACAACTATGTAGTTGAGATACGAAAATTCATTTTTAGGTTTTGTTACGAAAAACCAATTAATGATTTATTTTTTAAAAATTCTTAAATTTCATTTATATAGTATACCGATCATACTTGTAACCAATACTAAAAAAAGCACTGAAAAGTCCTCCTTTTAATAGAATTGATATTAAAACAAAAATCCAGACAAAGTCGCGAGTTATAACTATACATAATATAATTCACAAATACGACGTACCATTGAACGCTCCCAAGAAACGATTTTTGTATGTTTGTATACGTATTTGAGTGGAGAATGTTTTTAAACTTTACACAAGCCGTCTGTATCACAACACAAAAGTGGCAGTCTCTTGAATCATAATGAATATTGAAATAATTACTTGATTAATTTAGACTCAATTAAAAAGTCAGTGGTAGCCTAGTGGTTAAAAGGGCCCGACTCTGTTCACGAGGGCGCGGTATCGATCCTGGCTCTGACCAGTACCAATGTGATTTTTCCGAGTCATATGTACTTTCTAAGAGTATTAAAACATGACTGTTTAATGCATTCCTAAAGAAGGTTGATGTCAGGCAAGCGGCCGGTCGTAAAAACAATTACCCAAAACTATACACAACACGTAAGGCAGTCCCTGGCTATAGAAGAAAATTGCTAGGTAGTAATTTAGGCTCAATTAAAATAAGAAAAAGTATTTGAGTAAAGAAAGTATTTAAGTAAAAAGATGTTACTGTTTTTGAGAGATCGAAATGTGATTTAGATAATAATGGAAAATTATTTTAATATCAAAATATTTTCTTAATCATAATAATATCTTAATCCATAATTTTGATATATTAAACAAATATTTATTTCATATAAACCTACCTTTAACCTATTGTTTGTTTGTTTCAAATATATAAATATTATTTCTCTTCCAGTTAAAATGCGCCACATAAATTCCCGTATAAGGAGGCGGCTGTTCACAGAAGATGTTACAGAAGAAGCAAGAAGAGATAATACAGCTAACATTCTTCTAGAACTAATTAAAATGGACCAAGAGAAGAACAAAAAGAAATATAACTTTGACTTCAAGAACGAAGTACCCTTAGAAGGGGCTTACGAATGGACAAAAGTCGATGGCTATTTCGACTGGGCTGGTGAAAATAAAACGCACATTGAAAACGAAATTCCAGGTGAAAAAACTAGTATAGATATAAAAGAAGTTAACGAAGCAACTCCCAGAATGAAAACAGAAGAAAAACAACCGGCTTTAAGAAAAAGAAGAATAGATTCGGAATGTAACTTCGATAATGCTGTGAGGCGTAAGATCGATTTTTAATGTATATTATATTTGAAATTAAATTAAGTGCAATCGAGTCATATTTTTTGCATCACAAAAGTGCCAGATAAGACTTAGGTTTTAATTTTAATATAAATTAAATTATAAGACTGTACTCGTATATTTAGACAATTGTGTATAAAATTCCACTAAAACATCACAAGATATTAACTATTAGAGTGAATTAAAACATTTAATTAATTAATTAATTAATTAATTAATTAATAATTAGTATTTCTTTATATCAAAATCTTGATCTCTTTTATTTATTAATGAGGACGAATAATATCACCGATATGTTTGTATGTGTTTATAAATTTCTTATATATATAAGGAAATGACTACACTGGAATATTACGACGAATGAAAGAAAAATAATTAAAATCAATTATATAAAAAAATCTCAATATTATAATGTGTTTATTTTATTAGTAAATAAATATACAGCGCCATCCAAAGCGTAGATATAGCGCTTGTTTTAAAATAAGGATTCATTCACACTAATTATTAAAGTAAAAATAAATTGCGAGATCTTTTAATTGAACATAATATAGTGTGAAGCGGCCCTTAGATTATTTGACTGAGTGTGAAATAAGGTACTATGTTTTGTATGTGTGTTGTGCCATCTGTATGTATTTAGATAATTTTTATTATAAAGCGTACTTATTCCCTATGCGGGAGTAAAATTAAATTTGTATTCTCGTCTCTCTAGTTAAGGTTTTTTTGTTTAATTTATTTATTTGTAATTTAAATAAATTATTTGTAAATAAAATGCTTTTTTTTCGTTCCCGAATTTTTTTTTTGATAATATTAATAAATTCAACGAGTCTAAAGACTGTGTGATATACAATTTGTTTTCTAAAATATATTTTGCTAATATATTAACTAAATAGTAAGTTACTCAAAGCTTGACGAAACTATATTTTTTGCTTAAAAAAAAAAAACAGTTAAAAAATATTAAAAAACTAAATCAAATATGTACATACAGATTTAAATTTAATCGATAGAATAAATCCATCAATATCATTTTAATTGAAGCTTAAAGAAGCTCCTTAAAATGTGCAAACATAACAAAAATCCTCTTCCAAATTATTGTTTCGTGACCTTCATATATTTCGTTTATTTACCCTCCGCATCACAACATTCAATTTCCCCAAATATCCGGCTCTGCCCTCGCTGTTCAATTGTATCTAATAGAATATTATTATAATAAAACGTTCAAATTTCCTCTCCATCTGAAACAGTTCCTAAACTAACCAGGAAGACTAAATATTTAAACTTTAAAATCACTGTTTTAAATACTATGTAATATATCGGCGCTACCAGCTTTAATAACGGATGCGACGTGATTTGAGTCTGTCATCAATTATTATTAAAACTCATTAGTATTCATGATTATTATTAAAAGTAAAACGAAATCAAAGATTGTTTAAAAGGAGAATAGAACTATGTTTGAATCTTGGTATAAATATGACGTCTGGACTCACGACAGCAGAGTTCAGTGATTGCGGACCATTGAATAAAGTGATTATGAAGAACCTTCGAGAAATATAAGGAAATTAAGAACAATTGAAGTTTCATTTTAAAATATCATGGAACGTATTGAAAAAAGTGACATTAGTGACGTCAGCGAGGCTGCCATTTCTCTCTTTAAAAACACCGAATCTTCTATCTATATATATAAAAATGGATTGCTGTTCCTTAGTCTCGCTAAAACTCGAGAACAGCTGAACGGATTTATCTTATCTTAGTCTTGAAATGTTCGTGGAGGTTCAGAGAAGGTATGAAAGCTGAAAAAAATTGATTCATTACTGGGAAAACCATAAAAATAGCCTTTTTCTATTTCCCATACAAATGTTCTTTTTGACATTAGATTTGACAACTAACTAATATGTCAATCATTCTGTCGCAGTTCAAAACACGGAGATTTATGGCTTACAGGTAAACTCCAAAAATATAAATAAAGAAACGTAATAGATATTTCTTGATTATAGGGCGATACGAAGTTCGCCAGGTCAACTAGTTTGTAATAAATCCGATATATATAATATCCTTAGCACTAGTTTAAATCGTCACACTACATACGGATAGTTTACATTCCCGTTTCTCATTCAAACTACGTTAATAATGTATGGAAATATAAATGAATAATTTACGCTACGTGTAGGAAGACGTGAATTAAGAGTATGCTTACCTAATTTAATTATTGAGTCATAATCTTCTTGATATTCATTATCACATATATATTTGTCATAGTTTTTTGATATGAAAGGTTATTTCTTTATTTATTGATTAAACAATCTATTAAGAGAAGATTACAATAAAATTTCAAAACAGAACTATCAATGAAATATAATATTATCCACGGAAAAGTACGTAAAAGTAAGTTCCTGTGTTATAAAGTAATAAGTAAGTATAGTAAGTAATCTGTATACTTAAATCATATGAATGGAAATAAGTAAATAAGCCGTACTGATGTGATATTATAAATGCGAAAGTAACTATGTCTGTCTGTCTGTTACGCTTTCACGCCTAAACCACTGAACTGATTTTAATGAAATTTGGTACAGAGATAGAGTTGACCTTGAGAAAAAACAGGATAGTTTTTATGCCAGACTTTTGAAACGTTCTCTTGGAAATGCGACATAACCTAACTCGACTCGGGCGAAGCTGCGGGCGGAAAGCTAGTCATATATGTATAAAGCAAATGTTTGAGAGTACTTCCTAACACATTGAGTAACTTAACTGGTGACTCAAACAAACAAACAATCATTGTCAATGAATATGTATAACGGAAGCATTATGAATCAGAGGTCCCGTGGGAACAGGAGCGAACCTGGACACAGAAGGTCACACTCGCTGAGCGAGAGGGTTCCGTACACTGTGGATGACACACTCTTATCATATATCAAGACGCGAAATAAACTATATATACATATATGTATTAAATGCGTAGCAATAACTATCCTAATAAAGCATTTTGTGCTTCTAAATCTTATGTTATAAATTAATAATAAACTTCGTAATATATGAAGAAATATACCTTAAAAGGGTTATGGTTTTCAAAGGCAAAAATGAAATCACTGATTTAGTACGGGTTTATACTCAAAAAGTATTATAGAATTAATTGTTTCAAAATCTTCACAATACTAAATGTTCTGATTGATTCTGTATAAGGTAGAAACTTATTATATATGTATATATAATAAATTAAGTATTCATAGTATTTGCCACTCTCATGGAATAATTTATACAGATAGACACTTCCTAGACAATTCCCAAGGAAAATGCAAGTTAAAACAAATAGAGCGGAAGTAAACGCAATAGTTACGTGAGAGACTTTTAAATGCTATAAGTATAAAATGATTATAATAAACATTTATATAACAATAATCATTCTTCTACCTGGCAATTTCAAAGTTTCAGCCAGGGTCTGCCTTACATGTTGTGAATAGTTTTGGCTAATTGTTTTTACGACCGGCCGCCTGCCTGACATCAACCCTCTTTGGGAATGCATTAATCACCACGCTTGCTCAAGACGAGTGATTTCAAACTTATAATTGTGAAATTTTAAGTCCAAATCCTCACGATGTTTTCCTTCATCTGTTAGTGATGTCTAAATACTCTTAGAAAGTACATATAACTCGGATACTATGTGTATTATTGGTAAAATAATAAGAATTAACATTAAATTTCACTTTCGTTGCAATCCGCCGCCAAAACTGACATCTCATGAATATTAATGAAGAGGAAATCCGGTGACCACGGTCCGATACACGGACGATACTTACGATATACGAAATTTAGGGTGTGTCAAGAAATAAATACATTACTCCCTGATTTTATAAACAGTGACTTAGTCATGGAGAAAGGGAACGAAAGATTTGTTTAGAAACTTTATTTAATTTAACTAGAATATCAAGATATTTTTCTATTAGTACCTACTTATTTTTAAATTAAATATATTTTTTATAAATTTTAAGAAAATACTAAAGATTATTTTATTTGTGCGTCAATAGTATAATTTTTTTTGATATTCAAATTTATATAGTCTTTATTAAATTGCTGTTTTAAGGGCAATTGAAATATTATTAGTGTCTCACTTAATTCAATTGATATTATCTCTTGCAACGGAAAATATGAACTAAATTTGTTTATCCGAAATATTGATATCACAAGCTTTTAATAGCGATTATAAGAATCATGACTTATTTTACGTTATTAAAAAAAAAATTAGACGCTAAAAGTTACAATATAAGTTTTCTAATGAATTCAAAGTTTTTACGATAAACAAGAAACTTGATACCTTTTCCATCATAAAACATCCGCAATTATATGGTTTCACGCAAAAAGGAACCTCCGAATATCCTTCCGTTATTTTATAAACTTCCTTTAAGGTTTTATTGTATATATTGCATCTGCCAGAAAACTTATAAGGACATATAAAAAAAAAACAAGAAGTAATAATAACACAGAATATAAAAAAATCGATTTTAGTGACATTTTAAAAGACAATAAAACCTCTTTTGTCAAACTTTAACGCGTCCGTCAATATTTCTGTTACTCTGTGTAATAAGGGTGGCAATTTATTAAATAGTATTATTAAAATATAAAATCAATTGTAGCCGCTCTAAATCAATTGAAATTACTGCGATTCTGAGGGCTTTAATTGATAATTTTGTTATTTGAACGGACAAAACCAATGTAAAACTAATAAAAATTTATTTTATTGCACACCACACAAGTTCAAACGAACGGGGGACTGAGAAAATCATATTAGGAGTTAGTGGTGGAATTTATTGCAATATTTATATATCTTCTTCTTCCTGGCAATTTCCCAGCTATAGCCAGGGTCTGCCTTACTTGTTGTGAATAGTTTTGGCTAATTGTTTTTACGACCGGTCGCCTGCCTGACATCAACCCTCTTTGGTAATATACATATATACTACATATAATGAAGTTATAATGACAAAAAACTCTGAAGAACTATCAAATGAATA